GACTACGAGTAAGCTCGTCTGATTCCATAATTGTACGTCTCTATAAGGTTGATTTTCTTCTCAATTAAGGAGTTTAGCGACCGCACGGAAGCGATCGGAAGTTCAAGTACCCAACGGAACTATGCAACTAGGCGTTTTAGAACAGGTGGTTTCAAGCATGGGCACCATCTTATAACTACATATAGTGGTTTATAGACCCACACTACTTTTGAGTTTTTTCAGGTTTCAGATACCCCAATCTTATCTTTTTGCATACTTTTGTACCGTTCTGTAATTGTCTGTAGAACAATGCCTCGTCCATCAATTAATCTTGAGCCTTTTCGCCAGCTAATCACAGAAAAGTTTGAAGCTGGTTGGAAATATTCTGCAATTATTACTGTCTTATATAAATCTGAATCTATTGAAGTATCCCTTCGAACCTTAGAGCGCCAACTTCAAAGATGGGAACTTCGCCGAGAGATCCGAACCACCTTTTCAGATTCCCTACTCCGCCGCATCTTCGAGTTATTTTTCAACCAACGACTTACCGATAGTAACATACTCAGCGCCTTACAGAACGAGGGGTACCAAATCTCACGAAGTGGCCTGATTGATATCCGAAGATGCCACAAACTATGTGTTGGTTCACGGGGTCGTATACGACAAATAGTGGTAGCAATTATCACTCGTCTGTTGGTGATCCTATTGCTTGTTCTTCTTGTTGTTGTTCTATCTTACATTGTAGGCAGGAGTCGGTCGAAGTAGGTAGTGACGGCCTGGGTGGTTGCCCCACCTTTATCCGGCCGTGATGACTAAGCCAGTTGTCCCACTTCGCCCAGGGCAGGTGCCAGCCAGCCCATGGTACCTTCCCATTACTCCTTATCAGCCTTTGCTGTTCCAACACTATGGCGACGACAATCACAAGAGCAGCTTGCTGTAGCCCATGGGAAAGCAGTTGAGCACTTCCGTACAGCCGAGGACAGCGCCCGCACAGTCCGCAACTTTGGTCGCGAGTTCCTCTATACCTACATGCGACAACAAGGCCACGTAATCAGCCGCGATGCTGTATATGAAGCCTACCGCGAAGTTTTCCCCAACGAAGTACAGAACCGTCTCCGCGAGCTACGATACCGTCGAAAAGGCTACACAACACCTGGGCCTAATTACATTTGGTCAATTGATGCGTACGATAAGCTCCTCCCATGGGGCTTCGAGATATATGCAGGCATTGATGCCTATTCTCGGTATATTGTGTGGTTTTATGTAGGGGTTGAAGCGCATACTGCGCGAGCTATACTAGCCCAATACCTCTATGTAGTGTCGAAACGGGATATTATGCCCTTAAAGGTACGGTCAGACCGCGGCGTTGAGACTGTACTGGCTGCTGGAGGTCATTACTTTCTTTCACAAGACCGTACCAAGAAGAAACCCGAAGCACCAGACCAAAACATACCTATTCAGTTTCATGACTGTTGGATCTTTGGCAAGAGCATCCATAACGTCAAGATTGAAAGCTGGTGGGGACAGTTGTGCCAGGCATCATCAGCACAATGGCGTGTATGTACTTACTTCTTTTTATCTACTTTTACGGATCTATACTAACTTAATAGGAATACTTTGGCCGACTACAACAGCTTGGGTTGTTTAGTCCCAATTCTCTCGCTGATAGGGTTGCAATATTATTCATATTTATGCCCTTAATCCGCGAGGACTTCAAGAGCTTTGTTGAAGTGTGGAATAACCACAGAATTCGCATACAGAAGAGCCGGCCAAATGTTGTTCCTGGGCAACCTTGGCAATTATACCATAACTTTGATAAGGAGACTGCACAGGATTTTGCTTGTGCAGTTGATTCTTTAAAGGTCCAGACTATACTTGACGTATTGGAGTATGACGAGGCAGCTCTGCATAGTTATTTACCGCAAGAGACGTCCCAGCTTTGCAAGCAGCTCCTTGACGGTGTAAATACTTTCACACCAGTTACTCAGTTTGAAGGAGATCAATATCCCCAGGTTGAAGCCTATAACTACTTACGGCACCGCTTGAATCAGCATCAGAGGTCAGGTATTCAGCCAGAAATCTCACTGCTTGAGAGGCAGACAGGTGGGGTTAATTGGGTTAAGCAACGACTACAAGCAAATGGCATTAATGTTGATGAACTTTTACATATGGAGACAGGTAGTTTAGAAGGTAAAGAATGGAATAGCAGTCCATATATCACTTCTTATCATCTTCACCTGTACTCAGGTCCTCAGTTATACCCTTCCCCTTCTTTGTAGCTACATAAATCTCCTCCTTTACTACACTCTCCTTCTTGACTTCATACTCCCTATTAATAACTTGTGAATACCCTCGCTTATGGGAAGTTCCTTGCTTTTTAGTACTCTCTGCTGCTTCCTTTGCCTTAGGGGTAAGCTTTTGCTCAACTCCTGTCTGCGAGCGTGTAGATATAAGGTTACTAGCCTGCTCCTGGAGGAACTGATCTGCAATTGTTGTTGTTGACTTCTTTATAGCACGTTGCTTCTTTGAAACCTCTGGGCTGGTCTCTGGCGCCTCAATACGTGAGAGAGACACAAGAGATAGCATATATATATCCCTTTCAGGAAGAAGTGAGGCTTCGTGAAAGAATAAGCTGAGGATGTTGGCATCGTACGCAGCGCTTCGGTATTCGTGGATATCGGTGAGATTCTTCGGGTTAACAGGCATAGCCTTCCAGTTGCGACTGAGAAAGTGGCGTTCTGTTGTAAACTTTGACAGTACTGAACGCATCATGTCGGAGTGTGATGTGTACGACGTGGTCAAGAAGAACGAGCAGCTCCCAGAGAATTTCTTTGGCGATACTACGCGGACGTATGTTGTAACAGGAATCCCGTCAACATCCGTCTCATAGTATGTCGCAACCCACAGATGGATACCGATCAGGACAGTTGGGGAGGTTTTCGTTGGCTTCTTTGTTTTCTGGATACTCGACTCGCGCTGTTTTGAGCCTTCCTGGGCGGCTTGGAGGAAGTTCATAGCCGTTGGTACGTAAAGTGACTCTTGCTTAACGGCTGAAAGCAATGTGGAGGGTTGGGTGTTAGAGTCGTCATCCGCAGTAAGGTCAATGACTAAATCTTCAATAGTAGAAAGGTTTTGGGAACAGAATGCACAAGTTGTCCATTGTAGGACTGTCTTGGCAATAAGATGATTAGTTTTGTTGCTCTTGGGACACTGATATGCCATTTCTGAATGTTGCGAAATGGAGATGGAAAAAGGTGAGGAAAAAGATGAGGAAAAAGGTGAAGAAACAGGTGGAGGTATAATTACTTACCTCCGTACGTCTACGTGCGACATTCTGCAGTTGTGTGCGGACTTTCGCTTAGCCGACCCTAATAATTACATGTTGTGCTCAATGCTGCTAATGAAAAAGGTATCTGTATGGTGGCGTGGTTGTATCAACGAATTGTGGCTCCCTTGGCTATTTTTACTCCAAACCTTGGGTTTTGGCGGAGTTGTCCCTGCAGGCTGCCGTACAGACCCCGTCGAATCAAGCAAGCAACGACAGCCTCCTAATGCCGCAACCGATAAGTGGCTCGAGCTTAAGCCCACCAAGGTCAAACACGCCGGCTGCCTCAAGTACAAGCACCAACCAGGGAACGAGTATGAGCGAGTCAGGAAGGATAGCGATGGCAAGGGTTCCTATACCCCTCAAATGGATAAGCATTAATACTTTATACTAGGGAAATTAGATATTTAACCGATTAGATAACGTACATGATAAGCGAGTGGGCCAGACAAGCGAGTGGGCCACCCAACCACGACCACATGACATGAAGGAGCAAATATCATGTTGGTTTGCGTGTACCACAGGTTAGTCACACAGGTATTCCTGGTATCGCGATCGGTAGCAATATCGTTGGGTTAATCTGGTGTTCTTGTTGTTGTTATTGTTGTTGTTAAGGAGAGTATCTAAACGCGAAGGCTCGTGATATGGAAGGAGGGAGCTGAGGTGTGTCACGTGCCGAAGACACGTGACATAGCTCGGCTCCGTGTATACCTAGCGATTGCCGTTTGTTCCCACACCAGCGTCTCTCGATCGTCGATTTTGGTATTGATGAACCGGCGTAATGAGGGGGGCAAATGAGATGATATGATTGATGAAGTTCTCTGACTGAGAGCAGATATTAGGGTTAGATAAAGACAAACGCCCGCACCTTCTCAGCCATTATGTACATAACGGTGAACAACTAATTGTGCATCCTTTATGAATCCGTGTTGTCTCGCCTGATATCGTCACACGCCGCCTGGCGCTGCCTCATACCATGACCATGAGGTTCAAACTCTTTGGAGGCGGTAGTTGAATATGCCAAAACACTATTCAAGTGCACGCGCAGCATTGACTGGCCAGTTCCCCTACAAACCCCGTCGTCAATCATGGCAGGTCTCTTCATTTCGACTCGCTCAACATCCCATCCCAAGCTTCTCACTAAGTTGAGGATTCGCTCGCTCTCGTCCCCTGGTCCGCAAGGCAAGATTCGCTAAAAGTATACTTCAAGGATGTGAAGGCTGTGTCGTACTTAAGATCCATCTTGTGCGTCCTGGCTGGTTCGTAAGCCCATCATACTGGACAGAGGGTTTGTTCAAATACACTTTGACTTCTGCGCGACAGAGTACCAAATGCTGCTGCTGTGTTCTGGTGTTGATTTCTGCATGTAAGCAACGATGATAGCTGGGGAACACTATGGACTTTTCACTGCTTCAAGGGGCGAAGCAAGTGGTGTATTCCCTCGGTTCTTATAGCTCGCTGATTCGTGCCGCCAGCCTACTACGTATCTCTTCAACCCACCAGCGCAGTCAGCACTCGCTTGCCGCTGCACCACCTAAAGCGCCCCTCTCTTCTGCGACACCTTCCTGTAAAATGGCTTTGCCGAAACGCTTCACGTCCTCCTGCATTCCAAGTCACCATGCTCCGAGATATTTGACACAGTCACTCTAGAGGGGCAAACACATTTGAATGAATGGTTTGTATTCCATTTATGCCACTAGAACGCAATCATGCGGCCCGGATCGAATATCCGCTTCGCCGTTTCCTGCACAGCCTCGAAGGTGATGTAGTTGCAGCTTTCGCTCTGTAAATGCTCAGTAGCAGCGGCAAACTCGCTAAACTTCTCCCCGCAACGCTGATTTGGGCAATGATAGACTTTCTCCTGGTGCTTAGGCGACTGAAGGTGTTGGTTCAGGGAGTTGAGGAGTTTGAAGGAACTGCCACAGAGGGGGCAGTCGAATGTTTTGCTGCTAGGGTTCCAGGAAGCTGCCGTAGCTTCCAGACTGCTGCCAGACCACTGACGCAGTCGCTCGGTGATTAACCCATTCGGGTCTCTCTGCTTGACGGCCTCGTAGACCTTCATCCGATCCAGCGGGGCTTCGGGACATTTCCCCCGCTCCAGATGATAGAAAATGCCCGCCGCCGTCACGTACAGTTTTCCACAGAAATAACAAGGTTGCTTCTTGCCAAGATGCTGCTTGCTCTTGCGGTGCTGCTGATATTAGCCGCTGCTGTCTATCAACCAAGTGATCAAGAACGAACCATTTTGATGCTATTTGCATTGTCAAAATCTCGATCGCATGAACTGCAGTAGTAGTGCTCATGTACTTCGTGATGTTGAAGTTCTTGCTCGTCATCGAAGCATTCGGTGCACCCGTCATAGTAGCAGTCATACTCTGATCCATCCGAGCTAGTTGACGAAGACTCCGCCCAGTGATCAAGGGCGTTCATGTGCTGTTCCACGGCTGTGCAACTACCGAAATAGCGCTCGCATGTATCGCATTCGAAATCGGGCGCCTTGTGGAACTTGGCAGCGACATGCTGATCCCGAGATCTCCACGTTGGCCAAGTCTGCCAGCAGGTCCCACAGGCGAACGACATTATGAGATGGAAGAAAGTTGAGTGGCATGGACGCAGAGGAGAAAAGTGCTCGATGTGGTTGCAATTCACGGAAGGCTGCCTTTGAAAACAAGAAGCATTCCAACGAAATGCACAGGGTACATGGCAAGCACTAGGTAGTTTAATGCTGTAAAAAGAAAGAGCAACATGCTGGTGGCAGGGATAGTTATAAGCACCGATAGCACGGAGGAATGGCTTCGCGCGTTTGCTGGGCATTCACATCAAAACACCCGCCCCCGGCCTCACACTGCAACTGGCCATGTAGTGTCTTCCGCAGCACTACAGCCAGATTGTGCAGCGCGACATCGGCGGCGGGTTGGGGATCCGTTGAGGTGGGGTTTCCATGAAGCGCATGCAGCAGGGTACAGCAAGTGAGCCCATCTTGGAGGGTCGGCAGCTTAGCGTTCCCTTGATGACCTTCGGACGCACTTGCCGGGAAAGCAGCCGTTATCGAAGTCGTATCTGCAATAGCAGCCCCTTCGCGGTTGGTATTGCATGCTTGGTGTACTGCCACCAACATCACTAATGATGAAATAAGAAGCAAGAGTCGTATGGTTCTGCATCTGGTCAGTCATCGATTCAAGCATGCCAAGCTGGCGAATTACAGCCACAAGACCCGCAGCGATTTCTAACGTGCACGTAGATCGGCGAAGGTGAGGCGAGCGAGTGCAGTCGTACCGTACGAGTGTGCCGTTAAAAACCATTTCGCGCATAGGCTGGCTGGTCCGTAAGCTGATTGGCTTCCCATCCCCGATCGATTGCACCTTACCACAAGCCACAAGGGGATGGGGAGCTGTGGAAAATGGGCATCGCTGCAGTGTAATGCGGGCACTCTGATCTGCTAGATACTCGGGTTGAGTACCCGCCCCACGTGTTCGTTGGCCATGGTCCTGTGATACGTTTACTTGATGGCCGCTTTCAGGACAACTGTGGGAGCGTTTTTCCGACGGCTGAGCACCACTTGCTCCAGCATTTCCCATATCAACATGAATTAATGCGAACCTGTCGGTTGTGCTCGCGATATTGCTAGCACAGAGGGTAGGTGTCTCTGACGGTATCTGCTACGCCACAAGAGCCATGCCAGAAGTTTCCGAGCCTCTTTTCTAACGTCCGCCAGAATTAGGGATGATCAGTTTTGCTCAGAGCCACTCCAAAAATGACGAAATTCGTCACGCATGACACGGTGGCCCTGTGCAGGAGAACGTATGTCCGACATAGCGTAAATTCATATTACTGCAGAATCGTCCTGTGCCGTTGGTCTGTCATTGCTCCGTCTACGTGTCCTGAATACTGAGAGCTTCAAAACCCAAGCCGACTGCCTCATCGTGGCTCTCGGTGTCATTCTGGTCCCAGTCAAACAAACCAGAAACGTCGAAGCTCATGTCCTTTGGCCGCATTCCTTGGTCCAGCGCCTCTCTGATGGACCTCAGAAGCACACCAGCCACAGCTTGTTTCCACTCCTCAATGAATGCCTCTGCTTGCTCCTTTGTCTTGAACTTCTTACAGCAAGCACCAGGGGTTTCGTGCAGTTGAGATAGCGCCTGTGTTTGACCACTGATTCCAGTTAGGATCGAATTTTAATGCCGCAACTATCGGGTTATTGTGGAAGATTATACCGCCAATATTGATATACCCCAGGGTTTCTGCCATTTGCGACAGCATAATAGCCGTCAGATTTCCCGTCAGGAGTAGATGCCTCAGCTCCTTCCCTGATCATTCGCCTCGGAGCAAGGACCTTCAGCCCCTCCATGTAGTCTAACGCCTTCTGAAGGCTACTGAAACCTTTGAACACAGCGCTGCATCCCGTCACCCGCGGGTGTGCATCAGCCCTAACCGGATTAGTCTCACTTAGTTCACGGGAACCGGAATTGATACCAAGACGAGTAGATTGTAGGCTCATCGACGCGCCCTTCGAACACAGCGTAAAACTCCGTGGCTTTGGTCTTGCGAGGGGCCATGATACGTAATATCCAGCAGGTAAGGTGCGAGGGATCACGGCGTCTCGCTCAAATTGATGAAGAAATATGGTGAGTAGTAAACCGTTGAACCCATTCAATACTTGAATCGAGACAGAAAGAGGGTTGAGTCATTGAAATACCACATGTGGCATACTGGCCGTCGAGGGTGTCCCAGATGCGTCGGTGTGTATAAGTGCGTACAAATAGTGTGATTGGGCATTGATGCATTATTAGAGTGTTTTGCGATGTCTGGACCGCATATGCAGGAGGCCGCCCAAGCTGCAATTCCTGAATCCACGTCTTGCCACATATGCAATGCAGGGCAGCGCTAATCTGGCCCAACAAACGTCTATGAATGGAAACAAGGTGGATAACAGACGTGAGCAACCAGGTTAGCAGCGTCGCAAGGATCATGCACGAAGTAAGGTCTCCCGCATTGTTCTGATTATTGCACTCGCGACTCATCAACGTAGGCATAGGTCTCAAAGGGCTGATATCCGAAAATGGACATGAATTTATGGACTACTTGACATCCGAACTGATCGAGGCATACGTTCGAACCTGAACTTCCGCATTGCAACACGAAGAGTTGCGTAAAAATTGCAGACAAGCGTGGAACTGGCGCTCGTTCCTGACCCAGAGGGCATCATTGACCACGAAAAACTCTCTTTCCTTATTGAATCGTACGCTGAATTGGTCGTCGGAACTCAGTAGATCAACCAGCATCTGCCATGACGGCTCCTGCGACGAATTAAGAATGTCATCAGAAGACACAACATCTCGTCTCTGACTGTCGTCAGCGCGTACAATATTGAAGACAAATCCAGTGGGTTGATGACCGTTGCAATCTGGCGAACTGGACGTTGAAAACGCTCTCCCACGAGCTGTAGCTGACAGATCATCATCTGTTCTCAGAGGCGCTCCTGCCGGGGTTTCATTGTCGATGGTCGACCCTGGAGAGGAGGAAGCGTGTTGGTCGATAGCCGTGTCTAGAGGACTGACAGGTCTGTAATCAACGAGACCCGATATGGATACCCCGGCAGTAGAGTCAAGCTGGATATTCCTGGCGCTGCCGATTCGATATTGCAACTCTTGTCTGGCCATCGTCTCCATTGAAGAACACAGGTTCGTGATAATCGATTTGTATGTCTTGTGTAATTTTGAGTTTGACGCGGGTGGCGATCTCCACGCCAAGTACAACTTTTGGTGGGAGGAAGACACAGAGAAGGAGGCCGGGTGAATATGGAGGAACTTCTGGCACAAGAAGCAGCTTTTCTTACTAACCCCGATAAACCGGAATGAAGGTAAGAGCTCAGGGTGCTGATCGTAGAAACCAACAAGCTGCATTTCGGCATGAACAGCGAGGCGGAGATGAGAGGCCTTACGGAAGTATGACTCAGGGTTCGTAGCGCCCCAGACTGAAGCCAGCCTAGTCGCGAATTCATCTTCTCGGTCTCCAACAATCCTGCGAAGAACCTCACTCAGAGGTCGTTCGTGTGGTGGAATCGAAAAGTCGAGCCTCGGGGGGGAGTGAATAGGTTCTATCCGCATAGGACAGAAAAGTCCGGGGTATTCCGCCGGTAGTTGGCACAGCGCCCTCGAGGCGACTGCGTATCTTCCCAACTTGTAAATATGGTATATCCACCAGGGTAACTGACTGCCTTGGGCCGAGAACATCGCTTCAATATATGTTGAGTACTCCCATTTTGCCTTTTCTGCCCAAAGAATATGGGGCAATAGCTGCACGGCAGACGCGCCTGTCGGAATGGCCGTGACCGCACTGAGGTTTTCCATCCACACCGAAAATTGTTGAACGTCGGCAAAAGCAGACTCAGAAGAAAGCAGCAATAAGGTGTTCATGATATCGGGAACCTCTGACTGCACTCTATGGAGCTTCTCAAAATAGTAGCGAATCTTCTCCACATCAATACGAATAATCTTTATCAAAACATCAATTCTCCGTTCAGTTGTGAGGCCTGACCAGTACATTAGCTTACGTCTTCTTGGTAAAGGGGATAATCTTACCCCTATTTGACACGTCGTGAAGATCTGATATTAAGTCCCGAAGAAGTACCAAGGTTGTGTCACACACTCCAGCATTGCTAGCAATGCGGACGACTGTGCCTTCCGGTGCTCCTATCTCAAGCGTCGCAGCCGACACTCGGTCTGCATTTTTATGCGTTGAAGCGAGGAGTGCAATAGAATCGAGAAATTTTCTTTTGAGAAGCACTTCTCGAGACCCATCCGCATCGTGAGGATGACGGTCGAGGCCGTATGTTGTCGGGCTGCCCCTTACAGGGTCAAGCTTGTGGAGAATTACGGCATCTTGTACGAAACGTTTCTGTACTTTACCGGCAATCTCGAGAGTCATTGTTGCTTGCGAGGACGGTTGTTGGCAGTGATATCTTTGTCAGAAACTCACGCCAAGTCATAGGTAGGATTGTGCAGCTGGCAAAACGAACCTTCACGAGCCTGATGACAGAAAGTCTGAATTCCAACTCTATACGCCTCTGCTTCAGGCTTCACCTATCGAAATCATTTTTCACATGCTAACAGACAACCACAAACAGAGTTCTCCATTGCATATATTGCTGTGCCAAGACTCGGTGCTTGAGGAGGACGCCTGCAGTTGTTTTGTATATCATTGGCCGCTCCTCGCGATTGCGTATAGCCCAACGGAAAGCCTTCGGGCTGCACTTGCGTGCGGTGGTGAATATTAAGCGTCCGGTGTGCAGTTCCACCCCAGTGAAGGGAATTGTCCGGGGTGCATTGTGGATACTCTGATGTTGATGTGCTATTGCCCCGCACGACCTTCCCGGAGTGCCAGATTGACGCTGCAAAGCATGTAAAGCTCGGTGGGGATTGTGGTTCTTCGATCGACTGGGAATAGCACCACTAACTTTTACGAATGGGCCAATCATAGGAAAGTTGCCTGGGATTCCTTTTGAGAGTGGAGCACCACTTATCGCGCATCTGAATGCATGAGGGGTGCCTGCCACGTGGAGCAGCAACCGGCAATGGATAAAAAACAAGGCGGATAACATGAGCAATAAGTAACATGCAGCAAAGAAGAGCGCAGGCTGGCAGGGAGTCGCCTTCCGAACATTACCTATCTCCAGCCTATTTGGCACTGTACGCTTTGCGGGGTTGATGGGAATGAAGGCGGAAAGCACACATTACCTGCATGTACATGACCCTACTCAGACGCTCACAAAATGGGTGGCGCGAACTGGATGCAATGTTCTTCGCGACATTCTATGATTCGACGTCAGCCAGCAGACGACCTCCAACCAGAACCAGAACAAGGCGAACGAAGCTGCATGGTTCGTCTCGTCTTCACCGGCTGAAAGCTGACAGCACGCTAAGGGGGATTGTTTCTTGCACCTGCATGCCACAAATAGAATACCTCCCAACGATATAGTATACTGAGGCACAGTTGCACGGAGAATCGCCAGGTCGAGGAAGCCGAAGTCCTCGATAGCACCAGCGAGGAGAGCTGACGGCCCATAGTTGGTAGATTGTTCCTGCCATTGAATTGTGACTGTGACAACCTGCTGAGCTCCAGCGAATCTCTGAACTAACGGCATTATCCAACGAAGCAATCTGCTCGCCTCATGGCCAACATGCACTATCGCAACAGTCGCATGCATGCGTTGGACCTTCAAGCCGTCGTATCGGGGACACAAGCACACCGGTGAGACTGCCTGCCGGGACATGAGCCATGGGGCCGCTATCCCATCGAGTGCTGACTGACGCCATTTTTGCCAAGGGCGGGGTAGAGCCAATTAGGGGTTGGAAATCTATAGAGTTAACCAATAGGGTTACAGTACCTCTATTGCCTACATATTCTGCGTATGCCAGAGGTACCAACAATTCCCCTGGGTGCATAAAGGTACGTTACAGTCTAAGCAGCCCTTCCTCGTATATTTACGCCGCGTGAGGGTATTCCCAGATATCTCGCCTAGAGTCTGGCGGTTTCTTATTGCCCTCAGATTACTACAATAAGAGCAAGGCGAATTCACCTTCCATGACCCTTTTGTATGCTGTTCCCATGGAATAGAGGTATTCCTCTTGTCTGTACGTCTAGGTCGTGATAGTCTACGCCCGCCTGCTAATGGTCCAAACCGTTGAATAAGCTGGGCTGCTAGTAACTGCCGCCATTGATAGTTGGATTCCACCTCCTGCCACCTAGGGCTACCCCAGAGCTGTAATAAGAAGCTATTCACAACTACTACTTCCAGCAGGAAATTCCAGGCTAGGGACTGCCAGCCCCCTCGCCGAATAGGGTGACCGTATTGATAATAAGACCTCATCTGGTCACTCACATCAACCCCATTCATCTTGTGGTTGTATTCATCGATTGCCCTAGGGACTGGAAGGTCCTTGCGGACGTCTGGGCCAAACACTTGCCGGCAGCCCCCGGACCTCTCGGGCCCGGGCTGGTACTTCAAAGGGCCGGAAGGAGCCCGGAGGGCCATGCTCGGTAGCCGGAGGTTCACAGGGCCGGACTGTGGCTTCGTCACAGCCGTCTGGCTTACAAGCTGTATTACAAGCAGCAGCTAGGTCTTCTGGGTAGACCTCAACTACTATCCCTTCGAGTGCTGTTGGGCTACAGATACATTGCTCCACTCTTTTACCCACTCTTAACCCCTCACATCAGGAATACATGACAGTACATCATTTACCCCTAGGAATCCCTGGCTTCCCTTCACCACCAAAATCGCCTATCTACACATTCCAATTCGTCACGATGGCCTCGAGCGACGATAGTGACTCTGAAGGGTCTGTACATTCCTGTATCAACGTTGCGATACTTCCTGAAGCCCTCTGCTTGCTTGTCTTGTAACAATAAACGAATAGCATTAGGCGAAGTCACACGGAACTTGCGAAGAGATAGGAGAAAGAAGACGAGGTCAGGATGCAAGCAGTGTGGGGTTGCGATTTGTAACTCTGATGATTGCTGGTACCTCTATCACACTCAAAATATATAGGCAACCGAAGTACCTTTCAAATAGGGTCATTGATTGGTAGAGAAAACTCTTGGCTGCCCCTGAGTGGTCAGGATCCCTTCTGTGAATGTATCTGTAGCCCAACAGCACTCGATGGGATAGTGCTGAGTACAGAAGTAACAGAAGTTTTAGAAGCAATAGAGGTATCAGAATCACTAGAAGATATTGCAGCATCAATTGAAATGCTAGTAATAGTAGTGATAACAGGTAAAAGAGCATAGTGGTAAATGTTGTATCGTCAATGTACCCCTTTAAATGCGGGGTAATAAAGTGTAAATAGAGGGGATTTTGGGGCTTGGCAAAAATGGCGTCGGTCAGCACTCGATGGGATATATGCTATTAGTATAGGGCCTAGCGAGACTGACCTGAGTTCCTAGGGTCATCCCTTGTACATAACCCAGAACCAGCCGCCCCTAGTCCGTTCATATGTAGCGGCGGCGAGCTAGCTATTGTCTAGAAGATAGGATGAACCAATGCTAGCTAAACAAGCCGCAAAACAAGCTATAAACCGGGCGGCCTTAAAGGATCTACTTATCTTTACGCATCTATCGCCTAAAAGCCCGCTTCGGAACGAGAAAGCCTACGATATATATATCTTCGTTCGGGAAAGGCTAAGTCCCCAAGCCCGAGAAGCCCTTAAGGGGATCGACCATATTAAGATAGGATTAATACTCCTACCTTCGTTAATAGATAGCGTAAAAGTCTTATTAGAGAATAGAGAATAGATCGCTGCCCTTCTCCAGGCGTAAGCGATCGAGCAATGCGATACCTAGATCCGAGCCTATATCGCAAACGTCCCTTATACTAGGTATTATCTAGTAACTAACACTAAGCTGGAAATTATGACCGAGGAGCTCCTTAAAGAGATCCAGGTCTCGACGAAACTCAAGCTTAAAAAAGTACACTTCTCTGGAAGGACGAAGTCGAAAGGCTAAGTACGGTAATAGCCTGGTTTAAGGCGGAAGCCGTAAGGTAATTACTAAGACGCCTCTATTTGATAGGGGCTAGCGTTTTTATAAACCTATAGTTCCCGAAGGAGAAGAGGTCTCCTTAATACCTCCGCTACGGCGGTTTTCATAACGAACGAATATGTACTTGTGGGAACAAACGGCAATCGCTAGGTATACACGGAGCCGAGCTATGTCACGTGTCTTCGGCACGTGACACACCTCAGCTCCCTCCTTCCATATCACGAGCCTTCGCGTTTAGATACTCTCCTTAAGAACAATAATAACAACAACAAGAACACCAGATTAACCCAACGATATTGCTACCGATCGCGATACCAGGAATACCTATGTGACTAACCTGTGGTACACGCAAACCAACACCAAGTAATCAATAGACTACGGGGACTAAGGAACACTTTCTAGGGCGCGCCTACGTACTTACTTCGTCGAGCGATCACCTCTCATATACTACCCACTCAGTACTATACATCTAAAGCATAGTAGCCCGGCAAGAGACGGATAAAGAATAGAGGTACTATCTCAAACGGGGTTAATAATCTACTACACCAACTAGACGCGACGCAAACCAAAGCCATCAGAGCGATAGTCCCCGTATACAGAACGACGCCTATACCGATCCTACAGCGCAAGGCGGCTCTACCCCCAGCAAAGGTGATACTAGACGCAAAGCTCCACACAGCATCCACCAAAATCCATCGTCTAGACAAGCGACACCCTCTCCGAACAAAACTCAGGGACAAATCAGGACCAGACTCACGGCTACGACGAATAGCAAGCCTCGTAAACAAAAATACCAAATACATCGATCCGTTAAAACTCCCCCCTTAGGAGCAACTAGCGGACTAGCAGACAGCCCTCGCCAGGGTCGGCTACGAACCTAACAAGACCAAAGAAGAACAGGCCCTCTCCTTTACAGGCAGGATAGCAACTTTCTCTAAGCGGGACATTATTATCTATACTAACGGGTCCCAGATATCGGACGGCAGCAGCACCTCCGCCGGAGCAGGCTAGGTAAGGTACCAAGCTATACGGCAGATCTTCCGCAGATCCGAACTACTTGGCTCATAAACTAAGGTATATAACGCGGAGGTATATACTACGTATCACGGCCTGATAGAAGCCACCCGGGCTCCTACGGCTCGTATAATAGATAACATTTATATCTACCTCGATAACCTCGTAGTCGCGGCTAGACTATATTCCCAGAGCACAGGAAGCAGCCAGGCTAGATTTAGGGCCTTCAATAGGCTCTCTTCCTCCTGGACTCGGAGACAAAGAGAGAGCTGGACAACCCCCGGCAGGGTTTATGTTTGGTGGTGCCCTGGGCACACGGGAGTACCAGGAAATGAAGAAGCGGATGCTCTAGCCAAGGAAGCCTACAAACTAATCCCAAAATCACAACCACAGCCCTCATTAGCGCACCTAGAAAGGCAAGCTAAAGCAGCTACCTTCCAAGCCTTTGCCAGAAAATGGCTATCCCAATACCCTCGGCAATATGCCGACCTCAAGATAATTCTTCACCCCAAGCCGCCCGAACTCCGCCTCCCTCGGCACTTACTAGGAAGGCTATACGCAGCAAGATCCTATCATAGAGACTTTACAGCATACCACGAGAGATTCGCTTA